CAGGGGTAATTCACAACAAAGAGTCTCTAGGTGGTGGAAAGTTCCCAACCCTCCTCCTTTTTCAGAGAAGTCTCTTTTGAACTCTAAGAGATGTGCTCTAAACCTGATCAGTCACCTCCTTGGGACAACTGACAGACTGTCTTCTGGAAAGCAAACAAACTGTGACTTTTCAAGAACACACCCCTGGTATCTGCTGAACTTCAACACAACCACATCTCCCTCCCCACACACACACACACACACACACACCCCTCCTCATTGCTTAGCAACTGCAATTACTTGCTCATCAGAGGCAGATGCCATTCTTTGTTGCCTGGCCTGTATTGACTAAGCAATACCTGGTCCTCTCCTCCCTTGGAGAGTACAATAAACATCCTCACTGCATCTGTTCTCTTAGTTGGGAATTCTTTCATAGCCCACGTCATCAGCCAAACCCTATCAATGTCCAGCTCCCAGAAGACTCCCTCATGCCTGCCCAGCTTCAGTGTCCAATCTGAGGTCACTGAGGCGTCCTGTGCCACAGCTCCTCCTGGTGGTTGGGGAGCTTTCATGGTACCAGCACCATCACCTGTTCCTTCTTCCACCTGCTGGTGCACACTTGTGTGGTTTCCTGTTTGGAGCTAGGGCAGTGAAGCTGTCGTGAATGTCTGTTCTCATCTCTCCTGAGCTGTTTTCCAAAGTTGTGCTATTTCACACTCCAATCTGCAAGGAATGAGAGTTCCCCTGGATCCATGTCCCCACCAGTCATGGCCTTGTCCCTGATGTCCCCGGTGCTGGAGAGGAGAGCAAAGAGTTTTCCGTGTTTGCCCTCCTTTCTGTTCCAACTGTGCTGTCTGCACCTTAAACTGCGTAAATTCTAGTTGACCCAGGGATATAATGGGGATGGAGGGTGGGCCAGTGGGACAGGTGGCCTCTGTTTATAGGAGCATATGAAAGAAGTCAGTCTTTGCAAATTCTAGTGCATCTAGACAAGGCTCAGGAAGGGAGAGAGGTATAGACCTATGTGTGTCCTTGGGCACCTTCTACCAACGTGGCAACTATCTGATCTTTAAGTGTTCACTCTAGCTCATTGGTTTTCTCTCTAGCACATAGCAGGGACCTGCTTGGCTTTAGGTAAGTTTATTGTCCGCCCTGCTCTACTTCCCAATCTGCTCCTTAGACCCAGCCTCTCTTGCTAGTTTCTGTTTAATCATTTCCCATAACTCGGTGCTGAAGCCAGTTAAAAGGCAGTTCATTTAATGGTACTCTGACTTCCCTGTCATTTGGAATAGACTTCTCTTCTCTCTCTCTCTCTCTCTCTCTCTCTCTCTCTCTCTCTCTTTTAATATTCACACAAGGATTTTTTATTCCATTGATTTTCAGACAGAGTAAAAAGGAAGGAGGTGATGTGTGAGAGAGAACCTTCAGTTGGTTGTCTCTCCCATACACCCCAACTGGAGCTGGGGATTGAACCTGCAATGGAGGCGCCTGCCTTTGACTGGGAATGGAACCTGAGACCCTTAGCTCTGTGGGCTGATGCTCTAACCCACATGTGTCAAACACAAGGCCCGCGGGCCAAATCCGTTCCGCCAGGCCTTGCAATGTGGCCCGCACCGCGCTGTCATCACTGCACTCCGCTGCGTTTCCATCACAATGACAGTTTATAACTGTTCAGTAAATTATTCGGCCCGCGATTTAGGCTGGATTTTAGATTTTGGCCCCTTCTCTGATTGAGTTCGACACCCCTACTCTAACCACTGAGCAAAAACCAGCCAGGGCTCCTCTCCATATTCTAAAGCAGAGAAGGAAAAGGGAGAAAGGAGGAGAGAGGGAAGAGTGAAGAAAGATGTTAAATTCACTGAGAGGGAACTCAGAAGCTCCCTGGGCACCACATAACAGACATCATAACATCCATTATGAGGTTTTTCTATTTGTGAAACACCTTTCTCCACGATGTATTGATAAGAGGAATAGAATTTTAAAGGAGAGAAATACCTATTTGTGAGTCTGTCCTCACAGAGGTCAGGCTGCCACTAGTAAGCCCTGTGATCTTGGACATGTCTCTGAGCCTCAGTTTCTCTCTGTGTAAAGTGCGTATAACCAGGCCTTTCAGCACCACCACCACCCCCGCTGTGGCCCTGTCAAGTAGCCCATTTTTTCTGGACATTGTGACTGAGCCTGCTTAAATTACACAGCCATCAGGAGACACAGCCATACACCCATGGGCAGCAGCCTCTGAAACTCGCTGTCATGTCAGTGGCCAGACTCTGTGAACCTGTACACGAACGGAAAATGACTCAGAGAGGAAGGAAAAGTCAGTGGAGTGGGAGTGTCTACTTGCCTGCCCCTGAGTCCCTTCCTGGCCCCTTCTCCACCAGCAATTTCTCTTTCTCTAAATCCACTTCCTCTTACTCCTGGCTCCTCCCCATGGAATAACTGACAAATAGCTTTGTTTTCAGTTTCACAGTAAAGTTTTCATCAGTTCAGAGAACTGCCTGGCTGGTGTGAGGAGCAGCTGGGACCACAGAGGTGGTGAAGAGATGGCCCCCTACTGCTACCAGCTTTCCTTCGTGAATCCTGTGAGTTCCAGGCTGTGGGCACAGGAGATGCTGCAGGGCTGACTGGCTGCCTTGAAAGGAGCTGCTCTGGGTCTCCTAGGGAACCAGACTGGGGTGGCAGAGGGTGTACTGGGAGCTGACAGGACCCAGGGGTGATAATCACCCCAGAGGTGCATTGCACAGATGGTGCTGAGCTCCTTCTGAGCGCCTGACCTGTCCTGGGTGTGAGGGGCAGGAGGGCACTGGGCAGCCCTGGAAGAGTGGGCTCTGTTGGAGTGAAAGGGGAAGTCAGCAGGGCTTCCAGGGAGCCCAGCAGCCAGGCCTGGGCACTGACTTAGGAGATGGCCTCCCTGGCTTCAGCTATTTCCTAGCTAGGTGACCTCAGGTGAGCTGTGTTAGCTCTCTGGGCCTCAGTTTCCACATCTGTAGAATAGGGGTAATCCTTGAGCTGCCTCCCAGGATTGGGGTGAGGATGGAGGTAGCATATCTAGGGTGTGTGAATGGTGCCTGGCACGCGGTGGGGCTGTAGAAGTGTGCAGCATGGCTCGGAGTCTGGGGGCAGCAGGGAAGACCTCCTGAGGGGTGTCTGCTCCCTGGGGGTGAGTTAACAGGGCAGGTCCAGGGTGTGAGCAGAGGGGCCCTCTGGGGAGTGAGGGAGGAGCGGCCTGCCCTGCAGTGTGGGATGCAAAGGGCAGCCTTTCCCACCGTTTGGCCACATGTGAGGGCCCTGTCTGGGTGGCAGAGTTTAAAGCCTCTGAGCTTTATTATCCCCACGCCATCCATGAGAACCTGAGACTCAGAGACGTTGAGGCCACTTACCAGATGTCCCAGATAGTGGAGAAGGAGGGTGCCTTGTTTACCCCAGGAGGGGAGGTGCCCACAGGGGGAGCACTCATGGGGGAAGGCAGGCAGGTGGCAGCCCAGGCCCAGGAGGTCACTGTGCCCTGGACCGCCCCGTGGAAGCCTCGCCCAGCCTGGGCAAACAGTTTCTCGAGAGCCGGGAGGTGGATGACAGGGCTGTTCCTGGGTGGGACACGGGGTAGGCGGGTTGTCAGTAGCACAGCGCTGAGGGGGAAGCTGCCTGGGCCTCACACTCCAACGCCCTGGGCAGGGGCCCTGGCATGGCCCTGGGCTCACCTTGAAAAGGCTCTGCAGGTGGAGCTGCAGAAAGTGAGCCAGACCCCGTTGGTGCCTCAAGTGTGTTTGTGGAGTCTCAGGGTCAGAAGTTGTCCCCTTAGGCTCATTGTCTGTCAGATGGGGGATAGCAGACGTCCTTCTAGGCCCTGACACTTTCTTCTCACGATGACAGGTTTGTACTTTTCTATGCTTGGGTCCAAAAGCTACTAGTAATTATACAAATCAGACGGCAGTCCCAAAGGGCAGCAGAGTTCTAACAGGGCCTTGGTGCCCTGGCAGGTGGCTCCCTTGGTTGGAGTGTTGTCCTGATCACCAAAAGGTTGAGGGATTGGTCCTCTATTGGGGTGCATTTCAGAGGCAATGAATCTCTCTCTCTTTCTCTCTCTCTTGCTGCTGCTGCTGCTGCTGCTGCTGCTTCTTCTTCTTCTTCTTCTTCTTCTTCTTCTTCTTCCTCTTCCTCTGCTTCTGCTTCTGCTTCTGCTCCTGCTTCTTCTTCTTCTCTAAAATTAAAGACCATATCATTGGGTGAGGATAAAACAAACAAAAAACTCAACCGGGGCTTTGGTGTCATACAAAAAGGACGGTGGGTGGAGTCCGTACAGGCGACAGACACACCGTTCACCTCACAGAGTCACTCCCCGGCTGACCCAGTGATTTCCAGCAGTCAGGAGTGACCTACCTCTTCCTCCAAACTGTGCAGGAGGACCGCACGGCCTGGCTGTTCCGCTGACCAGCTGACCTCCATGAGGATCTGCCTCAGGAGCCTCACCCCCATTCCTTGCCCAAGCCCCTCCAGCCGTATCTGGCCCAGCCTCCTCAGAGGCCAGGGTGGAAGCTGGAACCACACGCAGGACAGGACTGGCTGTTTGGTTGGGGACGCCCTCAGGGAGCCAGGAGCCAGGATGTCTGTGCTTCATCCTGAGAAGCAGCCTGTGTGGGGCTTCACAGCATGGGTGCTGGGATCCACACCCCACTCTATCACAGACCAACTGGGTGGCTTTGGGCACGTTACCAGACCTTCTGTGCTCAGTTTCCCCATCTGTAGGGGTGGCCCTGATAATGGCCAGGGCTGTTGCCAGGATAACTAGGAACAGCCAGGGAAATGGGCCCCAGAAGCACCTCAGAACCCTTGGGGCAGCAGCCTCAGTTTCCATATCTGTATGGGAGGCTGAAAGGCTCCCACAGGCCCTGCAGTGAGCCCCGTGGGCCAGCTGTGGCTGTGTGCCCGCTGGAGACCCTGGGCCTCCAGAAGGAGGCTGCGCACCCTCTGGCCGGTGGCCTGGCTCTGCTATCTGACCCTCCAGAGAGGAAGAGGAGGGAAGAGTCCTCAGCCTGCAGGCCTGGCCAGGAGCTGAGAGCAAGCTCTGACCCAGCAGAGGGTTATCCATCTAAATTAATTCCTTAGAGCTGAGAGGACTCTATTCCTTTAAATGAGAGAAATGGTGTCTACTTTGTCATAGTAACGACCACTCCATATTGTCCCCCACCTGACAATCTCCCTCATACACACCACCTGCCTGGCTCTTCAGTTTTATAGGGAGTTGGCTTAAAGAGAAGATATTAACTATTAGATAAATGTGAAGGACTAAGAGCTACAAGTAATCTCCTAGGTTAATGCAGGATAAGAGCACATCAGATCAAAGGCATCCTGGAGGTTAGCTTAAAAGTCAAGAAGAAACCAATTTTGGAAATTTGCTCAGAGAGACCAAGAGGGAAGGGAGTGGTAGACACACCTACTATGTGCCAGTCTCTTCCCCAGCCCTTTTCTCACTAAATCATGGATCTTACACAGAAGGTAAGATTTATCCCTATGTTACAGATGAGGAAACTGAGGCAAAGAGGCCACATAAGCTTCCTGAGGTCACTCAGGAAATGTGCAGAAGAATGAGGCTCCAAACCTGGGTGATGCCTGGCTCTGAAACGATGCAAGCCTCACCATAACCATTGTTCCTTCCAAGTGGCCTGGGAAGGGCGTGTGACAAAGTGGGCTCTATGGGGCCTGGGAGGCGTGCAGACACCTCACTAGGGCCTCGGAGGTTGCCCAGGGCCTGGGGAGGGACCGGGAGCAGGAGCAGGAGAGGAGGCTGCCCGGAGGCTGCAGAGCATCCAGGACCAGGTGCCACCTGAGGTGGCTGGGAGGGCAAAGGTCACGGTCACACTGTTCTATGGTGGGTGTGCAGGAGGATGCCTGCTTCTTGGCCTTCTCATGGGAGCAGAAGGTTTATCCTTTAGGATAAGCTGCTGGCCTCCTTGATCCCTTGGTTTTCTGAGTATTCAACCAGGCCCTGGGGCCTTTGCCAGGAGCCCCTCTCACTGCCCTGGTTCCTCCCCCTTTCAGGGTCATGTTCATGGTACTTCCTTCTCTGGAAAGCTGTCACTTCCCCTTAAGAGAGATCAGCTCTGGGTTACATCGTCTCAGAGCCCAGTGGCGTTCGTATCAATGTTAGAAGGAACGTGTAAGTCCCCTGATTCAGGTATAATTTTTCACAGGCAGGGAGATCCATGAGCCTGAGACTCCATATGCCCAATTCACAGCTGCATCCAGCCCCTGGGACATTGCTTGACACACCAGGCCAGCCATTAGGAAGTGCCAGAGGGATTGGACAGAAGGAGCAGGACCCTAACTGACTGCCTTCTTCTCCCTGCAGGTCGTCCCCTTCTCTAGGGCCACACAAGGGGGCCTCCAGTGTGGACATCAGATCACTGTCAAAGGGGTGTTTCTTCAGTCCCATGGAACCAGGTACCTGGAAGTGTTGTTTCTCTCCAGCCTTGACCCTTAGCGAAATGTCTACTGACTGCTCAGGGTGGTTCACCCGACACTCTCCGAACTGACTGTGCCTGGCTCAGAGGATGCTGGCTGTGTAGGGCCTGGCCCCTGCCAACACTGCATGGCCCCCCTGCCCTCTGCCATAGAATCCGGACACCATTAACGTAGACTCCCCATAGACACAGGCAGAGCGGGCGCTCATAGGCTAAGACCAGCCCCAGGGCAGATCATGGGCTAGGGTTGAATTTTGCACAGGAATACCCAGAGATGCAACATGATGCCTCCTTTAACTTCCCGAAACGGCCTTCATTCACAACAAAGACCTCATTTGGCGGATGTGGAAATCTTTTTTTTTTTTTATCTATATCTTTTTTAATTTAAACATGTGTCTCCTCCCGCCCCTCCCCATTGACCTCTCTCTAGCCACCCATAACCCCCTGCACATGCCTTCACCCCCCTCATTGTCTGTGTGCATTGGTTATGCTTGTATGCACACATACAAGTCCTTTGGTTGATCTCTTACCCCCCTCCCTCATCCTCTCCTGTGTTCCCTCTGAGGTGTGACAGTCTGATTGATGCTTCTATGTCTCTGGATCTATATTTTTGTTCATCAGTTTATGTTCATTATATTCCAAAATGAGTGAGATCATATGATATTTATCTTTCTCTGACTGGCTTATTTTGCTTAGCATAATGCTCTCCAGGTCCATTCATGCTATTGCAAATGCTAAGAGTTCCTTCTTTTTTACTGCAGCATAGTATTCCATTGTGTAGATGTACCATGGTGTTCTAATACACTCATCTGCTGATGGGCACTTAGGTTGTTTCCAAATCTTAGTTATTATAAATTTTGCTGCTATGAACAGAAGGGTGCATATATCCTTCTGATTGGTGTTTCTGATTTCTTGGGATATATTCCTAGAAGTGGGATTATGGGGTCAAATGGGAATTCCATTTTTAATGTTTTGAGGAAACTCCATACAGTGGCTGTACCAGTCTGCATTATTCCCACCAGCAGTACACAAGGGTTCCTTTTTCTCCACATCCTCACCAGCATTTGTTGTTTGTTCATTTGCTGATAGACCTTCTGACAGGTGTGAGATAGTATCTCATTGTTGTTTTGATTTGCATCTTCCTGATGATTAGTGACTTTGAGCATGTTTTCATATGTCTCTTGGCCTTCTGTATATCTTGTTTTGGAAAGTGTCTATTTAGGTCCTTTGCCAATTTTTTGACTGGATTGTTTATCTTCCTCTGTTAAGCTGTAAGAGTTCTCTATAAATTTTGGAGATTAAATTCTTATTGGATATAACATTGGCAAATGTGTTCTCCCATGCAGTGGGCTTTCTTGTTGTTTTGTTAATGGTTTCTTTTGCTGTACAGAAGCTTATTTATTAAAAAATCTTTTTGTTGAGAGTATTACAGATGTTCCTATTTTTCATCCCCTATATTGCCATTCTCCATCCAATTCCCACCAGACCTCAGGCCTTCACCATGCTATTGTTTGTGTCCATAGTTAATGCATATGTGCATATAAGGTCTTTGGCTAACTTCTTCCTAATCCTTCTCTGAGATTCATCAGTTTGTTCCATGTTTCCATGCCTCTGATTCTATTTTATTTACCAGTTTATTTTGTTTATTAGATTTCTTGTCATTTATTTCGAATTTTAAATTTTGATTCAATTTTTGGTGAATATAAATTTATTGTCATTTCATGGTTCATATTTTTATCATTTTTCCCCTCTTCTTAAAGAATACCCTTTAATATTTCATATAATACTAGTTTGTTGGTGATGAACTCCTTTAGCTTTTTCTTGTCTGAGAAGCTCTTATTCTGATCTTCAATTCTAAGTGATAGCTTTGATGGGTAAAGTAATCTTGGTTGTATTTAAAATATTTAAATTTGCCATCCAATGTAATTTTTTAGAAATATATTTGTATTGATTTCAGAAGGGAAAGGGAGAGAAGAGAGAAAGATAGAAACATCAAGAATGGGATTGGCTCCCTCATGCATGCCTCAGACAGAGAACTGAGCCCACAACCCAATCATGTGCCCCTGACTCAAATGGAAACCAGGAGCCTTCAGTCTCCAGGCCAAAGCTTTATCCACTGAGCCAAACTTCCTTATGCTCAAATGTAATTCGATCTCTTTCTGCTTCAAGTTCCTTCCTGGAAAATACTAAGTCATTTCAAAATACAAACATCTCAGCACTGTTTCCCACCCAAGAGGGGACTTTGGGGAACAGGGAAGAGCTTGTACATTTTCTCAGAGGCTGGAGAGCCCTCTAATTCTCAAGCAGGCCTGTCTGCCCTCTGCTGAGGTCCAGGTGGTGTGGAGGTGTGGGGCTCTTGCCTGGTTTGGGTGGGGCTCTGCAGGAATTGAATAGAATGTCTATCTAGGGTCACCTCTGGGCTTGGTTCAGAGCCTGGCCCTGTGGGGGTGCAGAAGACAGAAAGCGGGTGGGGGTGTCCCTGAGTGCTGTGCATTAGTTGGGCACACCAGAATGACGCCAAGAAGCAGGCTATGAACCATGCTCATGCTGAGCTGGGGGAAGGCAGGAGTAGACAGTGACTCCTGGGATTGGGACTGGTTTTAGGACAAGTGACATTTATCGCGCCCCTTTCGTGATCCTGGCTCCTTGGGAAGGTTCTTTTGTTCTAATTCCTCACCTTAGAGCCATAGCTACCCCCAACAGAAGATTTGAAGGCGAGGGCTTCCTTCTGAGAAATAAATTAAAATTTAGTTTTGTGGAGACTTCCTGAACACCTCATTAATCAACCCCAAAGGAAGAAAGGCAGCCCCGCCCTGGGTGCTTTCATTCCAGGGTAGTGTTTTCCAGGTCACCTCCAGAAACTAACAGTATGAGTAGGGGTCAGGGTGGGACACACACCAACCTCTGATGAGGGACAAACACACCTATAAGTAGTTCTCCTGTCTGGAGAGCCAATATCGATCCCATGCCTCCCCTGTTAGACACTGTCTTTGTAGGTAAACACCATCAATGTCACCTGTTCTCTCCATTTGTTCTCTTCCTTCCCAAAGGAGCAGGCGTGGGCTGGCCTCTAACCAGTGCCCACTGGGCATGAGAGGCTCTTGCTTCTGTGAAAATTCCTGGATTTGTATCTTCATGCAAATGTGATATCAGTTTCTGAGACCTATGCTTCCTGAGGCTAGAGTCCACATTAATCTTTACCCAGTTCCTGCTTAAAGTCACACTGCAAAGGGCAAAATGCAATAATTACACAAAACACACTAAGCTCACGTTAGGTAAACACAAAGGAAGGCAGCAAAGTGGGATGGGTGCACACCTGCCTCACATGTTGTAGGCAAGTTCCCAGGCACACATGGAAGTCAGAGGCCCTGGGCCCTCCTGCTCCTGCCTTTGTCAATAAACCAGAACACTATCTGATATCCGTCCACCTAGGTTTGCTGTGAACTTTCATATGGGATTCAGTGACGAGGACATTGCCTTCCACTTCAACCCTCGGTTTGAAGAAGGCGGGTATGTGGTCTGTAACACCAAGCAGAAAAAATGGTCTAAGAAGGAGGAGAGGACGATGATAAATCCCTTCCAGGTGGGAATTCCTTTTGAGATCAGCTTCCTGGTGGAGAACTCCTGTTTCCAGGTGAGCAGGATTCTCCTCCCTCCCTCCCATTGCCTGTCCCCCTGCCCTTTGAGGCCTGGAGAAAAGCCTGTAAATAATGACCCAAGCAATGCCATTATAGAGATCAGAGGAGGTTACACACCTGCACCTGCACCTGCACCTACACAGCACCTGTTGCTTCTGTTACCAGGAAATAAGAGCTGATAATCCCCACCTGCTCTTTGGCCGCGGGTCCAGGTGACTTCCATCCTCTGCTGCAGCCTTGTCCGCTCCAGGTCCCTGACAGCACCTGTTTGTGGTGATGCTGTGGCAGCCCTTCTGCAGGCCCAGGGGTGGCTCAGGGCTGCGGGTGGAGTCATTGCTCTTGCAGGCAGAGCAGTGCTGCTGGGCTGGGGGAGGGGATGGCTGTGTCTGTGCTTCTCTGTGTGAAGGGCGCTCCCAGGCCCTCAGGGTGCAACCTGAGGCCCCCTCTCCTCTGCTCCCAGGAGCACTTTATGCCCATTGAAATGCGCATATTGAAATGGCATCCCCGGTGAGCTGAGAAAGACACACCTAGAGCAATAGTCAAACAAGAACTCAGGGCCAAGTGATGACTGGGTTTGGCTGCATTTGGGATCACATGCGTGTTCCTTACCTGGAGCAGCTCTGAAGGCTGGGCCCCCACCTACAGGGGATGGAGGTGAAAACCCGACAGGCCTTGATTTCTAGAAGCAGGGGTCCTAGTGCTCAGGTGTGCTCCCCGCCCTGGTCTGGGACCCTCTCCTGATATATGCACTCCTGTTGACAGGTGATGGTGAACGGAAAGGAGTTTACGAAGTACACTCACCGCGTGCCCTTCCACCGCGTGGACACCATCTCCTTCACCGGTGGTGTGGAGGTGACATGGATGAGCATTGAGGTTAGACTGTCCATCTGGCACTTGTTCCACTGTCTGTGTGGAGGGGCCAGTCTAGGTATGCCTAGGCCCTGTTGGGTGGGTCCAAAAGTTCTAGCCAATCTCTCACTCAGGTGACCCTGGGACATACCTTTGGCTCCCCGATCCCAGTCTTCCTGTGTCACTGTCTCTGTCCAGAGCAGCTGCCTCAGCCTCCCTGACTCCTTCCTCTCTTGCCTGTCCCTCTCTACTTCACCCTGGTTAGGAGGCCATGTGGTTCCAGAAAGAACCCAGCTTGGGAATAAAACTGAATCTAGCTCAGATCCCAGCGCTGCCATTGTCACCAACTGTCAAGTCTCAGACAAGTGAGTCTGCCTCTCCCAGCCTCAGTTTCCTCATCTGTGCAAGGGGCCTAGTTACAGCCTCCCCAGGAGGTACTGTGTGGGCACAATGAGGGATATATGTCAGAGGTCACGAAATGTTCCTCATGGGCCCACACCAGGGTCTATTTGACTCTTCTGTGTCTTCCCATTTTTGTAATGTGTTGCCAACATCTCCAAGATCAGGAGCTGCTGTGCGTTGTGGAGCTGAGTGGTGCACCACAGTGTGAAGGTACTGAATGGCCCTCCACTGTGCTCCTGAAAATGGAGAAGGTGGTAAATTTTATGTGCATTTTAGCAAAAATTTTCCAGGTCAGGTGATATCACATGGAAATCTGAATGTCCCACTTTTTTGTGAAAACTGGGAAGATTGGGGTAGGCCTGGCCCACGTTCTTACATGGCCCCAGGTGCCTGGATTAGAGATGTTATTTCCACATAAATTGTGTCAGTCGCCCTGTGGCAGAGGCCTAATGCCTGACCCTGCCTCTTCTTTGGCCCTGGCCTTGGGCAGACAGGGAATGCTGATACACCCAGACCCAACTGGTACCAATTTATGTGTTTCAGTGTGCTCCTGAGATGGGAAAACCACACAGTAGGCCCTCAATAAATATGAGCTCCTCTCTCTTTGGTCCCATCTCTTATACTCTGTCGCTGCCTGCCTGGCTTTCTCTCTCTTCTCCGGGCCCCTGCCTTTCCACTCCTCCTGGGCTCATTAAAGCTTCTCTTCACTCCATGTCGCCTTTTGTTTTAACAGGACACCTGTGCAGTCCCTGTCCAGAAGATATTCTCTGCGGTGGTATCCTCCCCCAGTCCCTGTGGCTCACTTGAGTCTGAAGAGCAGAAACCAAAAGTGAGTTGACCATGGACACCTGGGAGGCTGAGCAGTGAGCAGGAAGGACAGGGGTCTGAGAGAGAGGCTACTTCCAGCCGCAGGCAGCAGGGCGTCTAAGCCCCATCATGTGCACCCAAGGTTCCCTATCTCCAGGCACCAGGCACCCAGGCCCAGCACCTGGGAGGCGTTCTTGGTCCTTCCCTCCCTCCCTTAATATCCCTCCAGTGCACCAATGCCTCCCCTTCCTGAAGCCACTGCGTTGGTCCAGGCCATCTGACCCCTCACCTTTTTTTCCCCTCACACCCACCCACTGCCACAGTGACCTTCCCATAAGCAAATCTAACCCTTCCTTAAAAACCCAAAGGCTCAATAGAGCTCCAGTCCCCCGGCTGGAGGAGCAGAATCCTCCCCAGTCTTGCCCAGCTCCACTGCTGGCCTCCCACCTCACCCACAAAGACCCTCCATCAGCCTCCACTGCTCACTCCAGGCTCCTTCCGGCCACCACTGTTTTGCATCTGCTGTCCTGGGGCCAAAAGGACCCTTTGCCACCTCACCCCAGCCAACCCCTAACTGCCCTTCAGTGCTCTGCTTCAATGTGGCTCCTCAGGGCATCTTTCCAGCCTGACAGTATGCTCAATGCCCCAGTCTCTCCTTTACCTGATGGACTTTTAACATCTCTGTTCAAGCCAGGCAACTTCTTCAGTTATAACTGTACTTACATGTCTGTCTTGGTCACTACGTCCGCTCTTTCCCCCAAACCATAAGCTTGGGATTGAGACTTGTCCCTTTGTGTATCCCCAGCACTGTGCCCAGTGCCTGGAGTGCAGTAGGGACTGGAGAAATGAAGGAGGAGTGTGGTTTGCACAGTCAGTAGAAGGGGAGACCAGTCAGGGAAAGCAGACCAGTCTGCTGGGTAGGGAGGGGCCTTGGGCAGGAAGAGGAACAGGGCCTGGCCCTTCCTTGGCCTCTTGAGCAATGGGGGAAGGGGCAAGGGCATGTGTGCCTCCCTACCCAGCTTCCTGTGGCCCATCACGCTGCAGGGTGAGCCTCTGCCACCTGCCACCCTGACCTTAGGATGCTGGAGCTCCTGGGAGCCTTTGCAGGGCAGCCAGACTTTGGCCCTGGCCTTGGGCAGACAGGGAATGCTGATACACCCAGACCCAACTGGTACCATTTTGTATTTGATGGCTTGCTACTGGGACAGGTGAAATAGGACACGGCTAGTAATGGTTTTGCCTCTGGGAGCTGAGGTGAGCTGTATGTCCTATGTCAGACACATCCTTCTAGATCTCTAGAGAAGCTGGTGGGATGTCCCCTCTCCTCCACCTGCCCCTCCCTGTTTTTAACCACCGTTACCTGGAAGGTGGGTGAGCATCTGGGCACCACAGGCTCAGGACGGCTTGCTTGGGAGCAGGAAGGAAGCGAGCGTGAGTTTGGGAGGCATTTCTGACCACCGTTTCAGCTGTCATCTCCCCGTCCAGTGGCACCAATATAAACCAGCAGTTTTATTTTTTCCCCTTCAGCCTCCAATTCGTTGCCAGGCCATGGCGGCTTAAATTGTAAGTCTCTTGCCCTCTCTTTGGAAACTCTTCACTTTGGTTCTTCCTGTGGGTTAAAAGGAAGAGGCAGGGTCAGGCATTAGGCCTCTGCCACAGGGCGATTGACACAATTTATGCCAGACCCCTAGGCCACCCTCCTGACTTGGATGGGGTGAGGGTTGGGGTGGGGGAGGCGGTGCTGATTTGAAGGAGGGAAGTGGTGGTTGGCTGGGCTGATGAATTGGGAAACAAGCTGAATTGCCCAAGCCCCTGCCATTCTGTGGACATGATGGTCCGCATTTACTTCTTCCTGCAAAGTGAAACTATGCTAGAGAAATTCCCCTGGGAAGGAAGATGGGCCAACAGGCCACAAAGGAAGGCAGCACATTCCTCTCCAGAAGGAACTTTTGACCCTACCTAACCCTCTTAAGAGGAGAAACACCTGTACCCTGCAGTTTTCAGAGTCTGGTCTTGGCTACTGAGAGGGTGCCCCATCTGCAGCTGCTGGGAAGGTGTGTGTTAAGTGGTGCCCTCTGGTGGCCAATAGCGGTGCTGGTGAGAGCAGATGAAAAACACCATTTCTTTCTTCCACACACCAACTTTGGTCCACACAGTGTAGAGCACCCCTGGACAGATGTTCCCTGTAAGTCTGCAAGCTCCATCAGCGCACAACCCGCTCCCTCCTGTTGGTACAAGTCGGCGGGGAGCCCTGGAGTTAGGGGAGCTGCCAGTGGACGGGCTGAGGGCAGGTGGCCATGATGGGGTCTGGGACAGTGGCAGAAAGTTGCACCAAGGCTGACAGGAGAGGGAAGGCGAATGGGAGAATCCAGAGGCAGAAGCTTCACACTGGAGCACCCCCTCTAGAGTGCGTGGGGGACTGGGTGCGAGTGTGACCCCACCCTGAATTTCCTGGTCTCTTTTCAACAGAATCCCATGATTCTGCCCCCCTGAGAGACACCATCTTGAAACAGCAAAGGCTTTGAATTAGCTAATCGTGAAAGACTGTGCGCCTGAGCTCCAATCAAGAGATGCCTCAGGAATTACAGATCTGAGAAGCCCACCAAGCCCAAGCATGGTGTGCCCACAGCCTTCTGCATGGAATAAAGATGTTTGCCTTGCTGCCTGGCTCCCGAGTATGATTTGTATTCTACCAGGACCTCTGAGTTGTGGTCTTTATCTTATTTCTAACAGATATACATACTAATACAGTAGCACCTCGGTTATCAAACATAAATCATTCTGGAAGGCTGTTGGAATAGCTATTTATTAAAAAAAATCACCGAGGGAGGGCATGTATGGGAAGGGGGGGGGGGCAATGGTATATGAACAAAGATAATAATTTAATAAAAAAGTTTAAAAAAATAAAATAAAAAATGATAAAAAATAAATAAATAAAGGCATAATAAAAAATAATAATAATAAAAATTAAAAAAACGAATCAATTTTCCCATTAGACACAATGTAAATTGAGTTAATTTATTCCAGATCCACAAATGATTCTCTGTTTTAACCTTTCTTTTATACAGTACCTGTCTTATGTACGGTTTAATCTATGAACTAACACTTCTTTTCTTAAATGTATCGAACCACCCCCTAATCACGTTCAGCACTTGTTCCAGGGCTGTCTTTCAGGAAGTCAGCAGGCTGCATCTTCACTTTTTCACTGATCACTGCCTCAGAAATGCTGTCACTGACTGACTGCTTTTCATTTATCCAAATCAGCAAGAGTTTTCTTCTAGCTCTTCAACTGCCTGTCATCCTGGGTTTTTCCACAGGCTTAGCAACATTAACACTCTTGGTGGCCTCTTAATGTTTTAAAATGGTCCTAATCATCCATTTCACCAGCTAGGAAAGAAAAAAAATATTCACAGCACAATTTCTTGAGAGGTTAACAACAGGAGGTTTAGGGGAAAAACTGAATCTCATTCTCTCCTTTGCTTGTGACCTAAGAGATGCTTTTTGTCATGCTGAGGTAGCAGCATGAAAGGGTTGTCTGGTTGAGAACCAAATCTTGTTCAACAGGAAGACATTGTTTCCTTGAACATCTTGGTGGAGAACTGAATTGTCTGAGATGGAAGACCTCTGGGACCTCTGAGAAGGTCTGATTGAATTGCATTGTTTCTTCTACACCCAAGGCCTGATGAACCACATCTCCTCCCTACAGTCACCAGGGCATCTCTTGTTAGAAATGCTCTTCACCAGTGTCTCAGGGATACAATAGATGCTTGAAAATGTATAGATCCACAAGGCACCCTACTTCTGCAGAAGGGTACAATGCCCCAGCAACAATATGGTGGGCAAGCACAGAGAACAGGCAGTCCGTCTCCTTTGACCCCTGACGTGTTACTACACCATGCCCTAATTGGCTTAAGAGCCTGGTTCCACAACCTATCAGGAATGTCTAACTTCAGAAGGGCAGCCCAAGTTACAAGAGGGGGGCATTTCCAATGCCTGCCCGGAAATGGTGCAAAACTATGTCTTCTCTCCTACTGGAATGTCTGTGGTTATAACTACCTGTTAGACTTTGTCTGCCAGGAAATGGGGGAGAGCTATGCCTTTGTCTTTTGAGAAAGGGAGGCCTGGGTGGATTTGAGTACAAAATAAAGGTTAAAAAGACAAAAGAAATGAAGTGAATATCTAAACTATAGCTTTGTTAGGAAAAACTTACTAATTCTTATATCTCCTTCCCCTCATCCCAAAGTGTTGGGCTCTCTCACATTCTCCAGGACATTGAGGTCCAATATCAGACTTTGCTCCTCTGGCTCCAGCTTCCTGATCCTGGCCACTCTCCCTAGGGGGACATATTCCTGACGGTGTCTTTATCACTGAGGAAGCTAAGGCCAGGGAGCTAGTCCTATGGCTGGGAGGCCTGAGATGGTAGATTTCACTAGTTTATCGCTCCTCCTGCCTGTCACCCTGTGCTGTGCTCTCCACATTGGCAGAGAGCCTCCTCTTAGCACAGGAAGGGGTGCCCTGGAGTCTTCCTAGGACAGTGTCCTCTCCCCTGCGAGGGTTTTCTGGAGCCAATAAAACCGGTTGGAAAATCAGCCTGGCATCCTGCTTGCAGAGTTCCCCACAGCCACACCAGGTGAGTAAGGAAGGCCCCGGACCTCAAGATATTTTGGGACCCTTTTCCTGAAGCAAGGAAAGCTGAAGCTGGACAACTGGATGTAAACTTCAGAGAAGTCAGCACAGCACATGTATGGACAATCCTCATGTCTAGAGACATTCACACTGCAAACTAAGAGCAGCTGTCGGCATTGCCATTGCCTTCCCTCTCTCCTTCTAACGATGCCTTCCCTCTCTCCATCTAACGATGCTAGGCATCGTCTTCACTGGCTGACTCCAGACTCAGACTGGTGCACAGTCTTCTCCCAGCATTCACCTGTGTTTCCACAGAAACGCCTTAGTAAACACAGGACAGCTTTAGCCATAGTCCTAATTTTTGGAACCCAATGCAGACCTGCGCCCTAAACTGACCTATTGTCAGGACCAGGAGACGGGTTCCTTGAGGTGGAGCAATCTACCTACTTAACTTTGGCACTTTGACTCCCTGGAAAATTTTAAAGGCAGGACTGAGGGGACCAAAAATTCCCCCACACCACCCCCAAACATGTTTTTGGCATATGTATTATGTAAACTGGTTATTTTTAAGAGGCAGAACATTCAGGAAATTATTTTAAATCACATCTGCCCCCTTACTGCTTAAAAGAATTGGGATAGGGAGGAAGAGAGCTCTTACCAAAGACAGCCTTTATTTATTTATACTAGAAAGATTTCTCTGCCTGGCAAGGCAAACATGGTTAACCAAACATTTGTTCTTCCCATCTCCCTGTGAATTGTCTTCCTACCCTGGGAAGTCCCAGGCCCCTCCCCCTCCCCCTGGCCTTAGGGCAGCATCTGAGCCTCAACTGTCTGCCTGCCTGTGGGCCTTCTATTCTCATGGAGCCCTTGTACATGCAAAATTATATTTGGTGTTTCTCCTGTTAATCTGTCTCACAGCAATTTAATTATAAAGTAGAAGAAAAATGTTCCCTCTCTGACATGTCACTTCCATCCATCCACAAATCATTTTTCAACTTACAAAACTGAAACCTGTAGCTATTAATAACAAATTTTTCTCCACTCCCCGCAGTGCCTGAAAACCACCAGTCTGAAGGCTTTTCTATATATAAGTTTGACAGGAACCGCATAGCAGTGAAGTCATCCATATATGTCTTTTGTGTCTGGCTTATTTCACTTAGCAGAGTGCCCTCCAGGCTCATCCAGGATGTACAATGAGTCAGCACTTATCTCCTTGGAGAGCCTAAGTGGATGAAGAGGGCAAAGGCAGCCAAGTCAAGCTGCAAAGTTCAGGAGAAGGGTGTCCTGCTGGGCATCAACCATATGCACACAAACCAGTCACATTTGCCTGGAGGGTGTGGCTCAATGGTTGAATATAGATCCAGGAACCAAGAAGTCATTGGTTCCATTCCATGTCAGGGCACATGTCCAGGTTGAGGCTATGTGCAGGATGCAGCCGATTGATGATGTTTCTCTGTCATTGATATTTCTGTCTCTCTATCTTTCTACCTTCCTCTTTCTCTAAAAATCAATAAAAAACATATTTTTTAAAAGTCACATTTGATATCATATCTACTGAAGATGTGGGCATCTTTGATGTCAAATCCAGATTTCTGGGTGTTGAGATGGAGAAGATGCAGCTCCATATTCAGGATTTACTTGAGATGCCATCTCAAGGAGTAGTTTGATGAGGTTAAAGTGAATGTTAACCTTTGCACATATCTGCTGAACAAGAAATTCCATGATCCTGCTGGTGTGGTTCAGTGGTTGAGCATCGACCTATAAACCAGGTGATTAGGGTTTGATTCCTGATCAGGGCACATGCCCAGGTTGTGAGCTAGATCCCTTGTTGCAGGAGAGGCATGCAGGAGGTACCCAATCATCCTTCATCATTGATGTTACTCTCTATCTCTCTCTTCTCTCCCTTTCTCTCTGAAATCAATAAACATATATTTTAAAAAAATAAATAAATAAAATTTAATGGAAAGTGAAATGCCTGTGGAAATTTTATAGATTTTGCATCACCTGGATTAAGAAATGAATTTGTTGCCCTAGCCAGTTTGGTTCAGTGGATGGAGCGTTGGCCTGTGGACTGAAGGGTCCGGATTTGCTTCCGTCCAGGAGCACATGCCTGGGTTGCAGGCTCGATCCCCAGTAGGGGACATGCAGAAGGCAGCTGATCAGTGATTCTCTCTCATCATTGATGTTTCTGTCTTTCTCTATCCCTCTCCCTTCCTGTCTGAAGGCAATAAAAATAATTTTTTAAAAAGAAATGAATCTGTTCAGTATTTTTGTTTTTAAACATGATTGCAATCACTGCTTACAAAAATGTCATTTAAAAAAATATATATATATATATTATTGATTTTTTATGGAGAGGAAGGGAGAGCGATAGAGACTTAAAATTATCGATGAGAGAGAAATGTTGATCAGCTGCCTCTTGCACACCTCCTATTGGGCATGTGCCCACAGCAAAGGTACATGCTCTTGACCAGAATCAAACCTGGGACCTTTCAATCTGCAGACTCATGCTCTATCCACTGAGCCAAACCAGTTAAAGCAAAAAAATGTCATATTTTTAGAAAAGAAAACAAAAACTGTTCAGAAGAATGTACCTTTTGGTCATTTGATACTACAGCACAGTGATATGCGAAATGAATGACTCTAAACACTTGCACATATACTGTGGGATAGGTATTCTGATTTAAAACTTAGAGCATTCTGTGATTTGTTTTAAAGTAGGGAAAAAATGAATTAACTGACTACTCATTTTTACTGAATTAAAATTAATTCATTTTAGTTCAGTAAAAATGAATTAACTTACAATTAAATGTGTAAGCCTATTTTCTTATGAAGAACATTTGTGTCCCATTTGAATGATGTAATTCTTTGTTGATTTTTTTTTTTTTTAATTTGTGGAGAAATGGAAACCTACTTATTTGTAATGAGTCACTTACACAGGTGAAACAGCTGTGTGACCGCCATCCAGATCAAGTTCCAGAATTCTCCCGCTGCCAGAACACTGCCCTGCCAGCTTCAATGTCCAATCTGAGGTCACTGAGGCGTCCTGTGCCACAGCTCCTCCTGGTTGCTGGGGCGCTTCCATGGTACCAGCACCATCACCTCTTCCTTCTTCCTCCTGCTGGTGCATGCTTGTGTGGTTTCCTGTTTGGAGCTAGGGCAGTGAAGCTGTCGTGAATGTCTGTTCTCATCTC